TTTACTGTATGTATTTACTGTTTCTTAGGTGCTGTTTCCAGAAAACTGGCCCACTCTCTTATTCTTGGTTTGGTTAGATCTAATTTGTGGCTCCTTTCAGGATGGTGACCCATGTTTGTCGAGTTTTGGCCTTATGAAAAATAGTAGAGATGGAAAAAGCTACAGTACAAATTTGGCTTACACTCCACCTGAGTTCTTGCGGACAGGTATATGTGTATTTTAAAATATAACCACTTTTGATATTCAGTGAAGTTTAATGAGAAGAATTTGCCTAATTCACTAATATCATTGCATGTTCAGGAATTTCTATGTTGTTTATACTTGATCTTGTACACCAAAGCATTATTTTACAGCAGCTAATTATAAGATAAACAGCGTGTGCCTAACCTATTCAAATTTTTGTACTCTAGGTTTTATTTAAAGGCAATTGTTATGTGTATGGAGTTGGATGATGATTTGAAGAATTTATCACAAGATTTCAAATAAATACAATATATCTTTCTGGCTTTTCACTATAGCATATATACTATTAATTTCATCATTCAAGAATTTTATATAAGTATGATATGTAGAATTTTATATAAGTACGGTTATGTACTATTCATTTTTTGGTAACTCAAGTTTTTTAGTCAGTTCAGTGTGCCATGGAACATATCAGAAGAGACTGTAGATCATATTCATGACTCTGACTATCTTGTGAGATGGCATATAAATTCAACATTGAGTCTTAATCCATCACTAAGATTCAAAGATCCCTGGTCTCTGATCATAGGGCAGGAAATTATCATGTGAGAATTGGCTGCAAGAGGCCATGCCAATTTGTGAGAAAATTACTCATGAAAAAAAATTCAATTATTGTATATTTGAAATAATAGAGTAATGGAAAGTAACTAGATTTTCATTTCAAAAATAAGTTTCTTGTGCGAGCGAAGGTACGTGTGCAAATACAGCATCTTCTTAGTGGTATTGCACCACGCAATTAATACATAATAGTGACATAACATATTTGACTACAATGGTAAATATGCTTAATTTTATAGAGATATTTTAGAACCCACATGCCCTAAACTTGATTGGCGTTGTACTCTGCAGGCAGGGTCATTCCAGAGAGCGTGATCTACAGTTATGGAACTGTTCTATTGGATCTTTTGAGTGGAAAGCACATTCCTCCTAGCCGTGTATGTTGCCTCTCATTGAATAAAAACTTAAGAATGTTGGGATTTACTATACCTTTTTTTCCTGTAATCCATTTGAAATTAGTAAATTAGAGCTTCATATCTAAGGTTGCATGATCAAATGAGTGGACGTGCCACTGCATGTGCTATAGACTTGCTTATGTATGCAGATTGCTGTACATTCCATGTGCTTCCGGTGTTGCTTGCATACTTCTGTGTGTTTCCTTGCATTTCGTCTCTTTCTATTGATTTTATGGTGCAACTGATAAGCAGATTGTCGAGACTATAAGAACATGGTAAATGGTTCCATTCACACTGTCTTCTATGTACTTCACTCGGTTAATTTACACTTTTATATTGTTTAATTAATTTTCTGTTTTTCTTTTCTGGCCAAATTCTGAAAACTGGAGGATCTCTGAGTTTTTGGTTGTTATGATATGTTCTTTATTATTATTATTATTATTATAAATCTAATTGATATTTGTTGAACATTGGGTGAAAAAATCTCAACATGCATCATGTTTGACAAAATCATAGTCAATTCCATTTCCATAATATAAACCTTGCTGCATGGATGGTAACATCTGCAGGCCCTAGACATAATAAGGGGAAAAAATGTTCTGATGTTGATGGATTCATCGTTGGAGGGGCAGTATGCTAGCGATGATGCTACTAATTTGGTGGAACTTGCTTCAAAATGTCTTCAATCTGAGGCTAGGGATCGGCCTGATCCCAAGTTTCTCCTTGCAGCAGTTGCACCACTTCAAAAACAGAAAGAGGTGAAAAAATTGTAATCTTAATTAAAGCTGCAAAAATTCAATGCTTTTAATGTTTTTCAGCTTCTGTTGAGTAATATTCAGCATTGTGTTTTTCTTATCTACATTTTCTGACTGTTTCATGTGCTGTTTAGGTTGCATCTTACGTTCTCATGGGCTTGTCTAAAGATACAGTTGCTCTGCCAACCATTCTTTCTCCAATTGGGAAGGCTTGTGCCAGGATGGATCTTACTGCTGTACATGATATTTTGCTTAAAACTGGTTACAAAGATGAAGAGGGCGCAGAAAATGAGGTATGTTGAACTCTATGTTCTCTGGACTTTAATTGCCGGCTCTGTTAACTAGAAAATATGGCTGTCGTCAAATCAGAAGATATGCTGAACAATGAAAGTGTTAATCCCAAATGATGGGACTATAGATTTAGCTTACAAGACAGATCATGTAATGCGAAAATAAAAATTTGAAGTACCAAAACTTTTTCATTTCTTGTTGATTCCTAACCTTACAGCACTAGAAACACTTGGGGCAAGCCATGTTGGTATTGGATACTTTACCACAACAGTTCCATGTTAAATGTAATTGAATAATGTTAAATTTAAAACCATGTTTGTGAAATTGTGTGGATGGTCTGTGTGGATAAATTAGCGATGGACATGTTAACACCATCATTGCTTTTATATCATAATTAGAAAAACGAAATTGTTAAGAAGGAGAGCTAGCTGGAGAAGGATGGCGATGAGAAAAAGTAAGCATACCAGCAGAACATAGTGAGGAAGCTCTAATCTTTATATTGATTTATTGGTATGTCCTTACTCTGTTCTTTAAAGAGCTTCTGGCTTTTGTTTTCTTCTGTTTTTGGGTAAGAGAAAAATGCATTAATATAGAAATCAATTGCACAAGTTTGATGGGAGAATCAAGTCTTCCTACCAAAAACGGATGAAAATGGAATGTCAAAACAATTGCATTAATATCTAAGGAAACTCCCCTAAAACCACCTGAATCATGACACCATAAAGTAGGAAGGAAGACCATTTTTACCCACAACAATTGTCTTAAAGTGTATTGGTTTTTAAAAGTTCATGCATTCCTCTACAACCAGGTATGCCATAGAGCAGCCCAAATGACAGAAAAGCATGACGAGTTACAATCTTTCGTCCTCCTGGAACCCACAAAATATACCTAAGAATCTTCGCTATAAACTAACAATCTACACCATGTATCCTTCCCATGTGAGCAATGTAACCATAATTGACAATCAGACAAATAATTTTGCTGACGCAACACAAATATTGGGAGATACGTTGGTCCATTATGATATATTGATCCTGTTCTTGCAATGTTCTGAGAAAGTTGACCTTTTGTTCACAGCTTTCATTTCAAGAATGGACACAGCAAGTGCAAGATATATTGAACACCAAGAAGTTTGGGGATATTGCATTCAGAGACCGTGATTTCAAGAATGCAATTGAATATTATTCAAAGGTAGGTGTATGTCTCCCCATGTGTCATAGTTATATATGTTGTCCCAAAGAAAGAAATTGTGGAATCCATTGATTAATGTTTTGTTGGCTCTGCATTTGCTATCTTGGAGATGGTGAATCCTTCATTAATAAGCAGACAAATGGACTATTATGTCTATGTGCGTATACAGAGAAAAACCAGTGTTAAGAGTATTTAGCACAATTTGCAAAGTAACTGATTATTGGCATTTCACAACTTGAACACTGTAATTGGTAGATGGTGTTTGTGGTGTTCAAAGTTAACAGGAAAAAATCCGTACAATAATTTCATTCCATCGCTTTCTGCACGCTGAAAATTCCGTCATTGCAATTATTTTGTCTCATATGTGAATGGTTTAATATGATATTTTAGTAAAGCTGATGATCTAATGGTTACGAAGTTATTCTTTCCTCAAATAATTGAAATTCTTCTTGCATGTAATACTGATAAAGTGCTCCTGTTCAGTGATGAACTAGTAACCCACCAAGGCACCAAACTATTAGGTGGTACAGTGCTTTTTTCTTTTTAAGACTGTTCATGAATTATTACAAATAAAATTATCTTCCTCAGATTAAAAAAGCGAAACCTATAGTTATGGTGCTGCCGCTCAAGCAGTCTTGTAGTCTGCAGATTGTCTGTCCCTGGTTGATTTTCTAACATATCCTTTCCATGAAACAGTTGGTAAATCTGATGTCAATTCCTTCTGCAACTGTCTTTGCAAGGAGAGCCTTCTCCTGCTTGATGAATGGCCAAGCAGAACTCGCACTGAGGGATGCCATGCAGGCTCAAGTGTGCATACCAGAGTGGCCAACTGCATTCTACTTGCAGGCTCTTGCACTCTCAAAGCTTGGAATGGAAACTGATGCTAAAGACATGCTTAATGATGGGGCAGTCCTCGAAGTGAAGTGGCAGAGTAGATACAAATTTTAGATCTCATGGTTAAAGGTCCCAAGTCTCTGTGATATCTGGTCTATGCTACTGCTATGTAAACAATAACTAGAATAGACAACTAGTAACGCTTAGGAGAAATGTACTGTGGTATTTGTGTTCGTGAATTCTATCGAATTCTGTGTTTTAGCACGCAGTTACTGGTTTTGCACAACACAGTCCCATAACAGAATGCTTAAACTGTACTGAGTTGATTTATAAAGCATAAGAAGTTGTCAATGGATTTTGTTGGTTGAGTAGAGGGCCATTATGCTCAGAATGTAGCAAATTTTGAGAGATGCAGTTTAATATTTATTCTTTAGAAATTATCAAGGTTTGTTTTTTAAAAATTATTAATTTAAATTTTAAAATAAAATAAAAATCTATATAAGAAATATATATAACTCAGCTTGAATATATATATAAAACAAACCAAAGCTGACACATCCAAACTTTTTAAGAAGAAGAAAAATGAACAGAAGAAAAAGAAAAAAGCAAACAATAACAACTTATAACTTGAGCCTTTCCTGCATAAACAGTGTCAAAACTGATTGCCTCTATAAAGTCCTATCAGATGTCCAAACTCAATTTCTCAACCCACCAGCAACACCCGAACAAACACTTAATTAAATACTCCAGATGCAGATGGAGTTTATGAGGCAATCACACACGAGATAAGTAAGTAAAAGATCCCACAAAGCATAACTCGCCATTGCTTTGGTTTCGAACTACGAGTACAAGTCCCTACTTTTATATTCCATATCGTAATGCATCCATCTCCCGTGCCTCCTCCCGAGGCCAGTCCATTGAATTGATAGGGACACCAAGCAAGTGCTTTGGGCATTGAGTCGACCCAAGAAGTTCAAAGAGCTCATTTTTTAAGCTTCCCATATGCATGTAGAGCTTTCATTTCCTCCACTTGCCAGTACACCACCTTCAAATGACCACTTCAAACTCACACTTCTTCGGTGTGTGCTTTTATGCATGAAGTTGGATTATTTCTCACTCTTATTGTCAGTGAATTTGCAGATACAAGGAAATAGGAAAGTTAAAATCATCTCCCTGTGTTGAAAAGTAATAATAAGTAAAGAAAAGGTGAAGTAGAGCACTGTCACGGCTTCCTGATGTTGGAGATTGACCATTCCAAGCAATGGATGCTATCCTGCTCTGATGGCCTCCCGAGCTTCCAACCCGTGAGTCGTAAAAATAATAGTTTTACCATAAAAAATTCCAATTCCAGAACAGTTTTCAAATCTAAAAAAAACATAGAAAACTTGCACATTCGGAAGCCTCAGGATCCAAATTTTCAAATCTGCTAGTAATTTGTTTCACACAGCATTTAAGGTAGTGACGTGGATAAGAAGAAATAACAGAAGGAAGAAGAAGAAGAAGAAGGGCTGGAAAAGCTGTTAGTATAGTTAGTTAGCATTAAACATGTGAAGAATAAAATAGTTAGACACAGTTGAAAGATTAGCTAGTTAGTTGATAAGATTGTATAAACAAGGCATGTGAAGGGAATGGAATGTAGTATGATGAAGTATCTGTTTCTATAAATTTTGTAGAGTACTTTCTTCCCTCTTTTCTTCTGATTCACAATATCTCCTATTCTCACTACATTCTCTTTGTTAAGATTGAGTTCTTAACAAACTGGTATCAGAGCCTTGCATCCAAGGCAATTACAACAATAAAAAAGACATAAAGATGGTGGAAAACTACAAAGTTAAAGATTTGAATGAGTATTGAAGGCAACTGGATGAGAGGATGTGAGTTCTTCATCAAGAATTCTCAGATTCCATATCAGATAACAAGAGCCGGTGGAAAGAGCAAGCTTTGTGGAACGAAAAACTTAATGCACAAATGGAAACCTTGATGGCTGCTATTCACACTTCTATTACTGGAAAGGAAGCAGAGATAGGGATGAAAGGAATCAAGTTAACATTAAAAGAGTGGTTTGTCTACAATAAAATCACAATCAAGAGGAGATTATGGGGATCAATGAAGGTCATGTGGGTTCAATGTAGCCTTACCTAAGATGGAATTATCTACATTTCATGGAGATAATCCCCGTGGCTGAATCAGAAAATGGAAGTTTTTCAAGTTGTATTTTACCCAGTTCACCAATATGTAGAAATTGCTTCACTTTACTTGGAAGGCAAGGCGAAAATATGGTTTAAGGGGTTTTTGGTGGAGATCATGGCATTATCTCTCTTTGTACAAGATTTGGCAGCCAAAAAGACGTGGTAGAGGAGTTTAACAAGTAGGTACAACATAAAAGAGTAGAATAGTATGTTGAGAGGTTTGAGGAGCTCAAATCTCTAATGAACACCTTGAATCCTTCATTTCTAGTATCATACTATATATCCAGCTTTATCAATGGCCCTAAGGATGATAGTTGGCCTAAATATAGTTTTACAGATGCAATACTCAGGTATAAAGGGAGGATTATGGTAAGTGGAGAAGATGACCCTGGAAAAAAACTAGAGTCAAAATTGATGATGATTCTTGTATACAGGCCCTAAGGGGTGTTTGGCAGCATGACCATTTGTTTAAAATTTAAATTTTTTATTTAAAAAAAAAACCATTTTAAAATACAATGTTATTAGATTTGGAATGATAACTAGAGTCATGAACAATTCACTGAGATCTGATAAAATGGACACCCCTCAGGCCCTCACTCCCTGCTTGTACAGTTACGCTTTACCCCAATATCTTATTACCATATAACATTCGGTGGAGAGGGTGGTTTTGTAAAATTGTCGATAATGGAGAATTTAAAAGGGTTTGCCATCACAGGGCCGCCGTCCAGACGGAGGCACATGAGTCGTTAGATCTATAACACCGAAAAAAAGGGGTGAGTTAATATTTCTATTTTTTACCCTCTTTTTTTTCAAATTAATTTGTTTATCTACTGATCTTGGTTGTCGCGATTCTCCGTGACTTCTGTTTGTTTCTCGAGAAATAAGGAATGAAAAAAATAAAAAATAAAAAAAGGGGGAAATCAATTTTTTCGACACTCGATCGAGAAAGAAACATAATATTTCTTCACGGTTTCAATTTCAATGAAGTGAGAATCAAACTTTGACTTATCTTCCGCAAATAGAAATTTAGGTTTTTGAAATTGAAAAGGACTCTTTAGAATTTATGGTTGATTTGGTATCTATTGGTTCCGGGGGAAATATAATATATTTTTAATTGATTGTGATTGGAATAAATTTCATATTTGACTGGATTCAGTTTGATAACTTTCTTTGAATTGAATGTAAATGTATTTTGCGAGAAGACTGTTGAAATTGTGTTTACAAAACAACAAAAAAAAAATATTGAGGAATTGAAAAGGGTGGGAAGAAGATGAATAGTGGTGGGGATGGGGTGGTGTTGTGAAAACAAAAGGCAAAGAAATTAGGATAGTTTGATGCGCTCCATTTGCAGGATTTTGACTCAAATCTTATTTGTTTTTGTACTGTACATCTTCCCTGCCTTGCTGCTGGCTCCTATCTATGTAACTCTAATTTTGATTTTTTCTGCTGACTCCTGTCAGACTAGAGGAACAATAATTACCCTTTAATTGTAAATGTAAGGTGCAATGCATGTGAAGTTTGATTTAAATTTAGAAAGAAAAAAAAAGGAGTTGATTCCTTTTCTTTGTTCTCTCTCTGAGTTTCTTATCCTTTTGGTTCAATATTTTTGTCCTGTGCTCAAATCTTCAGATTGAACTCTTGCAGAAAAAAGTAGAGACATTTTATGGATAACAAAGCAGCAGCTTGTGAGGAGGTTTCTCAAGAACTGGCCCGTGAGTCACTTATTGGTATATCTTATTGCATACCAGATAAGGTTCCAAATTCAGAAATTGTGCCTCAGGCGGTCAACGTTGAGGAAAAGCTTCCGGTCATGAATGGCGATGGAGCTGAGAAGTATAGATGCGAACTGATTTCCATTTCTTATAGCCAGTCTCCTGATACTGCAACATCACCAGAGGCATGAAAAAACCATTAGGGTTAGCAAGAACCAAACTTGCTTTGAAACGTTTTTGTAGCATATTTCCCATTTCCTTTTCTATCAAAAGTTGCGTCGTGAAAGGTTAGCTTGTTGTAACTGTTGTGTTGTGGGTTTACAACCAATCACGGGTTGTGCTGTCCGCTTCTGTTGATGTCAATACGAACAAGAATATGCAGAAGAGTTCTACGTACAAATTAAAGTACTTGATACGGTGAATAAGTGTTTCTATAAAAAATTAGATGGATTTCAGAAACATTTTGTTGTTGTCACTTGGTTTATAACTTTATATTGCACAGCCGCGGAAGTGTTTTATGTGAAAAATAAATGTACTTTGGTAACAGTGCGTTGTTGTCACTTGCTTCTCGTGGTTTACATTGCACAACCGCTTCTTGACTTTCCTAGGAGTTGTATATTCCTGGAATTTTCTTCTTACTTAAGTAGTTTAGTTCTGCAAATTCTTTTCTTAACATGGATTTGATTAATAACTTAGCAGAAATATTCACTCCATTCCTGTTCACTATTTTCATGCACTTGTTTTCTTGAGCTTTTTCTCTCATTCTTGGGCAATTACCTGGCAGATTTACTATAAGCTGGCCAGTCAGTAAACAAATTTCACGAGGCTGTCTCTTGCAGAGCAGAGTTGTAGGAAGGGACAGAGTGTATCATTAACTTCGTATTGTTTGTTTGCCGCTTATATGCTTTCAGGTGCTCCTTGAATCATTGCAGTTTTTCTGCGTGAATTACACTGTCAAGTCGTTAGCTATAGATGCTACCCAAGGGTCACGCCCAGCATCCATGCAGGAAGGCCACATTTCTTGAAGCAACTATTGTGGTAATTTAACTGCCAATAAAAAGTTTTAACGCGTGGACATCCCCTACTTCTGCTAAATTTCTTTTTTCCACCCTTTATCTTTTTGTTTCTCAAGTTGGGGGTTCATTTTTACTTCAGTGGTTCTGATAATAGAATTTGTCGCATCACATTTTATAAATGCGTATCGAATAGTTATTGGAACTTTACTATATCCCTTTTTCCCTTGGTATCCTATCGGGTCAGGAAGGTGGATTCAGGATATGGTGCCTGGTTAGAGAAGTCTCCAGTATCGCGTAGGATTTCCACTAGCTTTTATCCGTTATGTGTGATTTTGATTGTTGATTGTTGGCCTTGGTGAAGAATTTAGGTTTGATTTGCTGAGATCATTTGAACCCCTATAGCTTTTTACATCTTCCATGGAATGAACCCCAAAAAGACAGCTATTGAATCTCCTTTCAACTGTGATCAATCTCTATTATGTTTTCCAGGTCATTTTGCTAGCTCATCCAAACATCGCCTTGCACTCGTGATTCTGATATGCTCTGTGTAGTTAGTAGGGTACAAATTTCAGCCTACCCTGTCCAGAAGTGTTAGTAGGGTACAAATTTCAGCCTACCCTGTCCAGAAGTGTTCAGCTCTTCTTCTCGTTTCTTCTGATTGATCCTGCTGTTGAAATTTTAGGCTTTATCCTTGATGAACCAGCCTGATAACTAATGAATAAGGTTTCCTTCTCTCCTTAAAATCCTTGATGAATCAGTCTGGTGTTGCTGTGCTCATTCCAGGGGCAGAAGAAGTTGTTAAGGATTCTACAAGCTGTTCTAGATGGAAGAAGGACGAGAAAGAATGGTAATCTATCAGTCAGAGAGACATAAAGATACGATTGATATGCTAATAGAAATTGAAGATGAAAAGGGTAAAAATTTTTATGAGATCATAGAGTTAATCCTTATGTGCTTAATTGCTGACCATGAGTCTTCTGCTCGTGCCACCAATGTGGGCTATTGTCCTCCTAGATGAACATCCAGAATATTTTAATCATGCTAAGGTGAGTGAAAACCTCAGTGGTCCATGAATATATATAGTTACTTAAGCTAAATTTGCACAGTCCATGCACTTCCTGAAAACCCTTACAATTTGGAGATATGTATTGTCATTTTCAGTTTCCAATTAACATATGGTATGCTGTTGAATTACTTGTTCAACTTTTGTTAGTAGAAACTCCTGCCTGCAAATGACTAGAATTTTTTTGTGCATCTAACTTTGTTATACAAAACTAGGACCCATATCTCATAGGCCTCTCCCTCAATTTTTGGCAGAACAGGAGAGATATTAGGAAGACTTATCCGGGCCCGAATAAATTCAATCCTTCGAGATGGAATGCAAGAGAGGACACATTTCTTGCTTATTAGATGAATGTGTTCTCATTTTTAATTCAGTCGCATATGTTGTGTGCTGAAGCATGCAGCACATGGATTCTGTGTAGGAACATAGACCGAAATCTGGCTCTGATATTCCATTTGGAATAGGAAGTAGGCTGTGCCCAGGAGGTGATCTAGACAACCTTGAAATTTCTTTCCTTCATTGTTTACTCCTTAACTACAAGTGAGTTCTTTTGCTGTTTCAAGCAATTGCATTTTCTTTTTTTATAACAGTTTTATGGTAGGCCCGGATTCCTCTCATTTCTAGCTGGTTTCAGCAAAACCATGCTGGTGGACTCGTGGTCATCTTTCAGCAATCAATCAGAAGTGATTGTATGGTTTCCGATGACGCTTGTAAAAACTTCACTTGGACCTCGGCTCTATTCGCAGATAATATTAGGCTAGAGACGTGAATGTTACCTGTAAAATAGCACTATAATAGTTTAGTCAATAGAGTATTTGAAGGGTGTTTTTTTATAAGAAAGATGTGAAGAGAGTAATTGCAAATATACAATTGCGAATGAGAAGATTGAGAAGATTTCTCCCCTACATCATAGATATGCTTTACAATGTAATAGTTAAATGGTATACGTGAATCATAGATGAAGGTATAGTTTGGAAAGTATGATATATTTCTTGTTATATAGGTAATTGACATGAATATACAGAGATGGAGGAAAAAGAAAGGAAGGAAATAGAAGAAAAGGACTAAGTTATTTGATTAAGGTGTTTGGATGAGAGGTAATTTGTGCTTTTTTTTTAATAAAAAGCATATTTTTATAACTTTTAGAGGTGTAATTTATGCTTAAAAGATATTGTACCTTTGATAAAAAATTATCATACCTCCAAATCAAATATATAATAAAACAAGTTCGTTTGATTGGACTATAATCAAATTAAATTTAAGAGTAATCAAATTGAGCCTAATACGGGCTCGATTGGATTGCGTTTGACTAAGTCAAATCAAGCTCATGTTAAGTTAGATTTGATCAATGTCAAATCAAGTTTAAAGGAGTTAAATCGAGTTTAATATATGTTTTACTAGATTTGGTTTGACCGGGTTAAACTAAACTTTATATTAAATTAGGTTTAACTATAATTACAATAAGTTTAAAATGAGTCAAACCAAGTTTGTTATGAGTTTAGTTTTATCGGGTGAAACCGAATGTTATTAACCCAATGTTATTAAAATGAAGTTGAAAGGAGTCAAACCAATATTAATATGACTACGATCAAACTAAGCCTGAAAGAAGTTAAACTGAGCCGGTGAGTTTAGCTCAAACCCGTGCTACATCTTTTTCTTTTTCATTTTTTAACCCGTGTCATCAGTTTCCATGATGAAGCGCACAATTTCATGGAATCAAAATACAGCCTTCTATACACTACAATAAAATGATCTCCTTTTCTTTTCCGTAGCTACAGAGGGCATTTTGATGTGCTGGCTAGGACGATCTAATCCAACAAGCAGGCTGAGATTATCTACCTCGTACAAGGCCCATAGACAAATGCCTTGCAGAAAATGGAAAAAAAAAATCTTTTGGAAAAGAACAGTCAATTTTGATATCAATGCAGCTTGTGGCTTCAGTCATGATAAATTACAAAGCTAGTTAAGCCGTCTCGCAATGTTTTGTGTTTTACTGAAAACCCATTCTGCCATTCAAGACATTTCAGATCTGGGATAGGATCCTCGCAGAGTAGGCACTGTGGTTCACCATTTACCTTGGCTCGACTACTTTTATGGTACACCAAGTTCCCTAACGAACAACGTACAATGAGTTTCCTGTCCTTCTCTATTTGATCAGACTGAGCAATGTTTCTTTAAATTTGAGATTTCTTGGCTCGATGATTAAAAACCAAAAACACTTTGAGTTTTTTATTTTATTTTGTATCTTCTTCTTCTTCTTCTGATGTTTTTCATTGAGCCAATCCTGCAACTAATTCAAATCCATGGTTTCTTCGGTAATTTCTCAATGCTGCACTTGAAATCCTAGAAACCATGTAGTGCATTATTGGTAATGAAAATATGCGATTCTGCTGCTGCTTTGTTCCTGGGAGCTGCAAATTAATATTTTGCTGTCTTGACTGGTTTGTTAAGGAGGGTGTTTATGTGGGTAGAGTTTTCCAAAATCCAGAGCTCAATAGAAGAGTTCCAAGGAAAAATATTAACTGAAGGAGTAGGGATGCAATTCAATGTTGGATGGATGCAACTTGCAGTGCTTCATTGAACCCTAGCACATATTGGCTGGGATGTTTCTGTTGTATGGCATTGTCTTTTTTGTTTAATAGGATATCAGGTAGAAGAATGAAGAATACTTCCACCAATTCTTTTCTCTGATTCTAATATTTGATATTACATAAAACATATGTGACCATGACCAAGCATTAATTATCCTCATGCAAATATATATATATATATATATATATCAGAAAATTCGTGGAAAATCCAAGGTAGAACATAACGCAATCAACAAAGAAGCAGAGGAAGTGAGGGAAGAAACGGTTCCCGATTAGAAGAAACATGCAGAATTACAACATAAAAAACAAGAAAATACTGGACAGAGTTGGAAAATATTTTTTGTAATAATTGACAAGAATTCAGAGGACATGAAACCTTTTTACGTTCTTAGAAAGGTTAGTTCAGGACAATAACATTTGCAAAGCGTACTAAAATTCTAATGAGAATCTTCTTCCTCGCAGAATTTTGTGTATTCCTTTGGACCAAGTAGGGACTGTAATTCTGATGGGTTGCTTGGCTTCACCTTGATCATCCATCCCTCTTCATATGGACTTTTATTTATCTTCATAACACAAACTGTCAAAGTCAGACGTGCGTATATAGAAAATGTATCTCTCAGCAATTAGAAATGGACTCGTTGTCAAGCTGAAACAATCAGGCTGATTTGATTTTATACTTACCAGTCCAGGAGTTTCACTAAGCTTTGTATTAACCTCAACAATCTCGCCGGAGATTGGAGAATTGATATCACTAGTTGCTTTCACGCTTTCCACTGCTCCAAAGCTCTTCCCTTGGCTGACAGAACCTTCCGGTTCTGGCAAGTCTACGAACACCACTTCTCCCAGATGATCCTGTAAAATGTACCCGGTATTTCCTGTTGTGATATTCCATTGACTTCCCAAACTATGTAACAAATATGTATATCAAATTACATGCAGTTGTGATTTTCCTGAAGAAAAACCAAGTAGTTAATGCCCCTTGGTCTTGCCCTTGAAGGGTTTGGTGCTGTGCAATCCTAGACTATCAGCTAGGGTTCAAGCTTTGGTAACAGCAGGAACAGAGCAAACAGGAGAAAAATAAAGTAGACAGGCAGAAAGCAAAGTAACAAGAAATACTAAACTCAGGTGAAGGCAAGAAATGCTAAAGTATTGGGTGGGGAGGGGAGATAAAGAAAAGATGACCTGAGCATGATCTGTAATGCCAATAGTGGCCACCGGACCTTCATGCTTCACCCACTCATGTGAAGATGCATACTTCAGCCCATCTACAACTGCACAATCCAACAGTGCTCTAACGTTACTCCCCTACACTACAGAAAAAAGCCTGCAAAACAGCTTTTAAAAGGACAAATTGCAAGGAATAAAAGGAGAGTACGTACCAGTAGAGAAGCATCTTGAGAGGGAGTAGGAAGGAGAGAGGTGAGCCGTGGAGGCAACAGAGATTCTCAGTGCATTGGCAGTTGAAGAAGCCCACAACCTCAGTGCCATGTTATCCCTTCTTTGTTTGCTTTGGATATGCGTGTTTTGGCTGGCAAATAAGAGGCTGTGTCTATATATTTGTCGGAGGTTTTATCCTGGATGAATGGTGGGCAGCAAGAGCCTCATCCTCAGACCTCTTGTCATCCTTATCATTTGTTTTTGTGATAGAATAATCTGCCTTGTGATTTAATCAAGTCTTTAGCCCCACCCTCGAGGGATTGATTAACTGAGCTCAGAGAAAAGTTTTGTGTAATGTGTGGCAATGGCATGGTTCAAATCCCACATTATAATTTATGTGAGGGAGATAGTCTCGTTGAGGAATAAATAAATAAATAAAATTAGCCTGAGATCTTCTAGGCTTCTCAATTTTATTGGATATGGTGTCTTCTTTTTTATCATATTCTTAGTTTGATATTCAAATTTTCAATCTTCTCTTCTTCTAACAATTTATTTATTAAAAATTAAATTTTATAATTAAATTTTTTTAAGTTATTCTAATTCAAGTCACGGATATGATAAGTTAATTTGAAAATTTTAAATTTTTTCATTAATTTTTTTCTATTTATCTCTAAAATTAGACTTTATAATTTTATTTTATTTATGGAATTAGACTTTATAATTTTATTTTATTTGTTTTTTATAAGGTTATTATGATCTCATGATTCAAGTCATAAATTTTATGAGTTAACTCGGTTGATTTTGGTTATTTTTAAGGTTATTATGGTCTCATGATCCAAGTCATAAATTTTATAAGTTAACTCGGTTGATTTTGGTTATTTTTTAAATTATTTTTTTTAAATTTATTTTTCAATATTATATTGATTATGAATTGAATTTTATAATTTATTTTAATTTATTTTTTATAAAATTATTTTAATCTAATGATTTCAGTCACGAATTTAAGTTAATTAAACTAAATTTACTTAAATTTTTTTAATTTAATATTGAATTGATTAAGAATTAAAATTTATAATACATTTGAATTTATTTTCTATAAAATTATTTTAACCACATCACTTAAGTTATGAATTTAATAAGGAATTTTGAATTAATATAAATTAATTCAATATATTATTATAATATTTAAACATATATTATTTTAATTTTTTATCAAATTATATTTATATAAATTATTAATATTCTTTTGGATACACAAAGTTAAATATATTATATAAAATCAACCCAAGTTCTTTATCCAGAAGGAAACATTTTAGGTTTTTTATACGTCCAAGAAAAATTTAATAAAACAGTAGAACACTAAAAAAAAATAGTTTACCTTTTATCCTATATTTATCTTTTACTCTCTTTTTTTTTTTAATTTTACCTTTTTTTTCGAGAAAGCAAACAGTAGAAAAAACCAGTTTTATATTCTATACATGAAAATAATAATAAAAAAAAAACACATGAAACGAATTGAGGGTCAAAATTAATTCCAAATCGAAATCTAATTGAGATAGATCGATCGATCCGATCAGAGTTTGATGGGAGAGATTAATGAAGAAGACGAAGCAAAGAGCAGTCACAGCAACATCGACGATAATGGTAATATGGCTGAAATCACCGTCAAAACTATTGGCCCTTCTCCTCCATCCCGCCTCCTCCTTCCTTCTCCCATCAAAGTGTGTCTCTTTATCTCTTCCTCGCTCTCTTTATGTACATATTTGTATCTTTTGGGTTTTCTTAGAGTTTATTGTTTTATCCAATTTTGTCTGTTAAATAAAATTTTGATTCTTTATGCTGCTAAATTGGCTTAACCATGGATTACAGAAAGGCCCACTTAATATTTTGCATTTAATTCTTAATTTAAGCATTCCTTGCTTCATATTGTTGTGGTAAATCTCGAAAACCCATTTACTAAGATAGGGTTTCTCGGTCAGATTCTTGATTATAAGTGCATAAATTAGAGCAGCATTGTGGTTCATGGTTATTTATTTTTTTCCTCTCGTTCAATGTTATGGCTTGCCTTCCGAGGATTTATTATTGCACTGCAGTATGAAGTTTGAAAATATTGAATGTCCCTTGAAGTAGAAAAATGTGAGGTTTAGTTTGAATTCATGTAATTCTGTTTCTCATCAAAATGGTCTGCTTGCTTAAAGACCATATACATAGTCACAAAAGGAAAATATCTAAATTTGAAAAGGATAATAAGATGCTTGTCATTGTGAATTCTTATAATTTGCTTGCATTGTTGTAATAGGTCTGTGATTTGAGGAAGTTGGTTGCTGAAAATAGGCACCTACCAATTGAGAATTTAAGGCTTATCTTGCGTGGGAATGTATTGCATGATAGCAGAGATGAGGATGATATATGGCTTAATAATGGAGGTACATGTCTTTTCTTTAGTATTAGTATTAACATTCATATGTTGCTTGTTTCCAGTTATTGTTGCTGTCCTGTGATAAGATTATGCAGTATATTTTTCTGCGTTGGGGACATCTCCGGGTCTGATGGAATTTGCTATAATCTCTGATGTATTTTTAAACAGGATAGTGAAGTTTTTAAATTCATAATATTATCCGATTATATTGATGTTAAATATCTTTCTTATGTTACTAACGATACTTTAGAAACTAAAAGTGGTTCAAGAAATATCAAAATTAGATAAAATGTAGAAACATTGTCCAATTTCAATCTTTAACCAATTGAAAGAGAGTCTCCTTTAAAGGGCAAGAAGATTTTCTATAATATAGATAATATGGTTCTCTTGCCTTTGTATGATTATAAGGCACTCACTAAACCCCTAACTATGTGTTAAAGTGCAAATGTTTTTTTCTGTGCAAAGGTTTTGAAAGCTGATAACCTATTTTAAAATAATGTGGCTGTTGATTTTGATGGAAAAAATTTTGTTCTATATAACAGCTAATACTTATTTGCTGACAGAAATTAAAGTAATTGAAAGCTATTATTAGCAGATTCAAGATGCTATCAATTGCATATTTTAGGTTATTACTTTGTGCTTCAGCCTAATGTATCAACATAACAAAAATGCTAACTACAAACATAATTATGTGGGCCCATGCTACGATTTAGTTTTACTGATAATGTTCAGCTCATCTTCAGCAAAGTTCTCTAATTAAGCTCCATTTTCTTCTTCTAAGATATAGGCATTTTCTGTTTACTTTCTAGATTCCCTTATTGTTGCTGTCAAACCAAAGCCGCCAGCAAAACATCTCCGAGATGGATTTGATGATGATGATGATGATGATCTGGTATTAATGAATAATTAATTCTACTGAACTGAGTTTTGGCGATTCTTAGAAATACTAATTTCTTATTAGTTAAATTGTTTTTCTTAATTTTCAACTCTCCAGAAGTTTCAGCTGCCACAATCAGCAAGTCGGTGGAAGAGGAGGCTTTATTTCTTTCTGCATGATAAGTTGAAGCTCCCTGGTGAGCATCTAGTGGAAGTACCTTTTGACGTAAAAAATCAACATTCTTCTGATAAAATTCTATTTTATTTCATTGATAGATATCCTTTTGATGGGACTTTTCTCTCTCAGTCTGAAGGCATGGGCTGTTTTTATTTTATGGTTCATTTTGGCACCTGTTGCCCACAGATGGGATCTGGGACCAATATATGTAAGTTGCTTTTCTTTGTGAGTTCTTTTTTTGCAATTGTGTGGTACCTGTTTTATTTTTCAGTAGCAACTTTGACCTTTCTAAGAAAATGAAGAGGATTTGAACTGGATCTTCTCTGACCTCTTGCTAGCTATTTTGCCTTCTTTTAGCTTGACCTGGGTCGAATGAGAATGAATCCTGCTCAATGTAACCCATTAAAACCTCACATCAAAGTCACCTAAACAATCATTCTGATAATCTGCCGTAAGATTTAATGAATAGAATTTTCCAATGATATGTTTTTCCCTTCCCCATGCTGAATAGGTGGGCTGCAATAAATTCAATAAGTTGGCTTGGAAGCTCATTTATGATTTACCGCTGCAATAAAAAGAAAAAAAAATGTTGGAGTGGATTACATAGGTAGCATTGACTTTACCTGCAAATTGTTTTTGCCAGGTAGACATCACTATAGAATAAATATGTTTCCTTTAAAACCTCAACCTTTAGCGCTGCAAATGCCCATTCAAAAAAAGTATGGTAGCTGATTGCAAATGTGAACTGGTGATGGCATGCTAGTGTTTCTTGAAAAAACAAATTTGCAGAATTTGGACCATATCTATGCTACCACAATTAAATGTTTGCATGGATGAACTGATTACTTGATAACAGCATATTTTAAACCCTGTGAAATGCTATCCATAACATGACCATAACAAGCCTGAAATTTTCTGACTCATCTGTAACATATAGAAAGAGCAAAGCAAAATCCAGTTGTCATGCCCTGGATAACTTTGGTGTGCTGTAGAATCTTCTATATAACCTGCATTTTATTCTGACAAATTACCTATATTCATTTCTCATTGGTATTTCACGTATCCTCATTTCTTGCTGCTACTTAACTTTCAGATAATCGGCACTGGCTTTGTTATCATCCTTCTGAATCTTGGGCGGAGGCAAGCTGGTGATCTCAGGTATAGAGTACAGACTAATAGGAATAGCTAGCTTGGGAATTTGTGTTGTTCTTTCCCTCGCATGTCTGTCCATGCATGCATGTGTGTGCCTAAGACAGCTTAAGTACATGAAATGAGTTCCTTTTTCATCATGATTGTCATTGAAATTAAGATGTATACATTATTATTATCCATGCTTTGCAGATTGATATGCATGGAGCCATTTAGCTCATTGTGTTGGTTGTCTCTTTTAAGTAATTTCTGATTCAATTGGTTCTCTGTTTATTTGGTAATTCTCCATGGTGATCTATAATGAAGTTTTGACTTCAGGTCTAGTTACGTCTTTGTTGCTTGCAACTTGTGTCCTTGTCCAATTCCCCATGTTGTTTTCTAGTGTCCTCTAATTCTGCTGCTTGTCCATCCATGCTTCTATTTCTTGCATCTTTTTAACAATGTGTTTGCACCCATGTGTGTTTCCGGTCTCATTTATGGGTTTTTGATATTGCAGCGCGTATTCTATCTTCAATGAAGACTTCAGGGAGCTTCCTGGGACCCTTAACGCAGATCGCCTGGATAGAGACATTCGGGCCGGCCAGTTTTGAACCTTAGACGAGTACATCAGTGCTGCTTTCAGGCCATGCATGCTGTAACAATGTATACTCGCAACCTTTTGATGTATGTGTATACCCATCTGCACATAGAGTCGCTTGACTTGTACTAACAAATTTCCACCCACATTTTTCCTTAGTCTCTCTATGTTTCTCAACGGAAGATTTTAAAATACTATTTTTTTTCCCGTACTCGTAGAAACTGATGAAAACATCATTTGTATGAAGAATTTGGGGATTTTTGTTGATAGCTTGTCCTGTTGGACTTAGAAAAGCTGAAATGGAGTTCCAGAATTATTGTCCCCCTCCAGAGGAAATGGGGAATTGGATTCCCATGTAGGATCTAGGAAATTTTTTTATTTTTCTTTTGGTATTGTTTATATATGATAAGTATACCTGTTTATTTTAGTATAGTTTAAATACTTTCTTGCTATAAAATTTTCCATTCTGAAAACCCTTTTTTATTTAATTTTGTGACTATTAAAATAAATAATCAGAAAGAATTTAAATGATTTAAATTATAGAGTAAATAATGTATTTATCCAATGGAAATTATTTTTTCTTATATGACATGGTCAGTACTTTTTTTATTTATCACCAGCATGATTTTTCCAATACAAACTTAAAGCAATCAAAATAGAAGTTTGAAAGAATTAAAATGATTTAAGAGAAAAGAAAATGTAATTCTTTTGACAAATTTTCCACTTAATGGACCCGTCCAAGCAAAGCTTAAATTCTCAAAGTTTCTCTTCACTCGGTGATGGTGATTGAAGTGCAAGAAGCTAGGCAGCAAGAAAAAATGATCTGAGGCATTATTATTATTATTATTATTACTATCCATTACTGCCGTCAAAACTTCCATGAGCACTTGGTCTCCTTTTTCTCTCCAATCTTCTCCCCATAGCTTGGCCTCAGCAACAACTCGTTCTCTATCCAAATCTCTGTTTAACATCTTAGCAGTTTTTTTTTAGTGAGTCATCTTTTTCGGACCCTTCCAAGTCCCATCTGCATTCAGATCCTCTGTCCTTGATCATGATGATGCAAGGAGGGAAGGGAATGGGCTGGAATTCTTTTAATATAAATACAAGCTGAGATTGGAATTTTTGTGTAGATTACAATATTCTCATATCGAAACTAAATTAGTGTTTTGATTCGTGGTGTTTGTGTTATGTCATATTTGATTTGTGGATTGTGTTATATGTAGGGGTGAAGAAAAAAATGTAAGAACTGGATTATTGCAAGATTTATGAGTTTTTTTGGTCTATGGCTTAAAAACAATAATTCGATTTTGATTTTGGTTTAGAATCTTTGTTCATCAAGAGAAAAGAATGGAATTATATTTGAACATAGAGAAATCGTGTTTAAAAAGAGAAATTCTATATCTTTTTATATATTATAGTGTGGTTAATTTGATCATTTTATCAAGTTTAAAAATTTATGTTGGTACCTAATATAAATTGTGATTTTTTAAACTTTAACATGTAAATATAAAATAGACTAAATTGAATAGTTTTTTTAAAATAACTTGAAATGTGATAATATCCTAAAATATCTGAGTAACTTCAAAGCAAGGCTCATATATTGGATAATAGATTAATTTCTTGATTTTAATAATATAATCCAATTTTTCTAGTTAATATAACTGGTAGTTTGTACTTGATACTTAATAAGTTAAAGTGATCATTTACTAGTACCATCGAAAGATCCTTTTTTGTAGTTTTGAAGAATCTATGATACTTAAATAAATATATATTTTTTAAAAAAATATGATGATATTTAAGAGATAAAAGTTCCGAAGATATATATACTAGAAACATTAAGAATAAAAAGATTACATCGTAACATCTGAAGGAATAACGAGGTATTTATAGCTTCTAATTTTTTTTTCTATAAAGAGGAAGGGGTGGAGTATTATTTTGTTCTGATAGTATTTAATAAAAAATAAATATTTTATATAAATCATTAATAAAAAATAAATCATTTACAAATCATTAATATTAATAAAAATATCATAGCTCTTTTAAAAACTCTTATACTCGCATTATTTTCGAAATAATGTTGAAAGATAAACATGTTTTACTTTAATATTTTATGATAACAATAATAAAAATAAATAAATAGGAGTTTTTCTATTCAATAATAAACCTAAAAAAACTATCAGTATTAATTTTTTAAAAAAAATTGATTGCAAATAGAATAAGTTGATTTTGATTGTGATATTAATTTCACTCTTTCTAATATATCAAAAAAAAACTTTAATATTTCATTTAAGAAAGAAATAAAAATGAAAATTATTTCATTTCCAAGAAAGAAAGGGCCCATATTCGGTAGAGGAAATGCCATGGGACCTGCGAGATCAACAGGCCCAATAACGAGCTGGGTCAGTATTCATTTCTCTCCTCTCTAATCCTCGGGCCCAGAAATGTGTCAGCGCCTCCATGCTAACTCTTTTCTTCTTCTCCAGGGGTTACAGAAGCTTATCAACGATGAGCCATCCCTTGCATTATTCGGAAGCGACACGTGCGTTTTGAATTTTTCCATCCAAACAATGGAACCAGAGCAGTTGTCCAGCTCGCCGCCACGGATGAGATGGAGACATATCTCCGGGCGGGCCTGCAAATTAATTTAGGCATACGGCAGAGGGTACTGGGAACTAACCAGACCATGGAGGTGGAGTCTAGTGGTTATCAACATAAATGCCAAAACCCTCCTGACTCACGAAACGGCACACAGATTTTCTTACCTTCCAGATGTATTTTTACTGTGGTTACTTTTAAATCTGTAATATTAGTAATTGATATAGGAATAGATTCACTTAATTACCTTTCAGATATATTTTTTAATTTTCTTCTTCTTTTAAATCTATATAACAGTGGTAATTTACTTGATGAAATGCCATAAAACCTAATTCAATATGCTCATGAATGCTACGAATGACATGACGGACACCTCGTAAAGCCCCTCTTTTTTTTAAAAAAAGTTATTTTTTACTCGATCAAGTATTAAATTCAAATTTGATTATGCTCATTTCTAAATTTAATCTTTAAAAAGATATATTTTTTCTGACAAGTTTAATTCTTGTTACTTGTAACAAATAATCTTATTTTTATAAATACATTGTGCAAATACAACTTATTTATATAAGATATAAAAGAAAAAAAAAGTTACATACAATTTGAAGTATTATGAAGTTAAAAAAGTTATAAAAAAATTAATTACTATTTAAAAAATAAATATTTTAAAAATAAAAAATTTAATTACTATTTAAAAAATAAATATTTAAAAAAAAAAAAAAGATAACACGATATTAGATCTGGTAAGGCATACCCACGCACTTAGCCACCTATAAATAATCACAGTCAAATAATAGACGAGAATCAAATTAAATTTTTCCATATCAAAAGTCAAATAATAGACAAGAATCAAATTAAATTTTTTCATATCAAAATACAAATAATAAATAAGAATCAAATTAAATTTTTCCATATCAAAATACAAATGGGTTATGTTTCATTTTTTTCCTGTTAAAGTTAGTTTTTTTTTTAATTTCTATTTTTATTACAATTAAAGTTCTATTCCATAAATTGATGTTTAATTCATTGTCATAATCTATTTTTTACCCCATAATTTTCCCATTCACTCTAAAAAAATATAAAATTTTTCATTTTTCATTTAAATTTAGTCAATTCCTATCATTTTGTAATTTTTTACCTTTTTATTTATTTTATTTTATTTTGTGTGGCGAGACAGATAAATAAAAAGAAAAAAATGAAAAAGAAAAATAAAATGAAAATCTAGAAAGCAAGAGTGAAATGAGAGAGGGAAAAAAAAAGAGAGACCAAGAAGATCGAGGGCTAAAAAATATAATGGAGGAAAAGAAAACGAAAGAGAATGCAGCAAAAATTAGAAAATTACAGGGAAATCTCATTTCAAGAAAGACCTAATATTGTTCCATTAATTTTAGATTTTTCCTATTTCAAGGGGAGTCCTTGTAATATAAATAAAAACATATAAATAAATTAATAGGGAGGACTCCACACAGACGGTGTGGTGTTCCTGCCAATAAAAAAGCATAGCTGACTAAAAATACCAAAACCCTAGCTAGCTGCCCATTCATTTTTTTCTCACAGTGAATGCCATTTACATTATTTATTAACTTAAAATCAATCCATGAATTGTAAATCGTAATTAGGTTGTTATTTGGATATTGCATTAAGGGTCAACCAAATCATGCATTCAATATCAATGTTAGTTTTTCATTATTTTTGTTTTTTTTTTGTGCTTGATTTCTCATAACTTAAAATCAGCATAAAAACTATAAATTTTAACAAGGTGTTTCCTCCAATAACACACTAAAAATAAAATAGATTGGTATGATGATTTCTTTTCTTTATTTTTATTTTTTGATATGAAATAATTTTGAGTCACATCAATACAATTCTATATAGGCTTATTAAATGCAAATAATAAGCTTTTCAGGCCCATTTTGAATATAATTAAAGAAGATGAAACCAAGTCTAATTACTTATAATCATTATTTCTAATTTTCATTTCTATTTATAAAATAAATTCCCCTACTTAAATTTCATTGCATTTTGGATTAAGAATCATGTAACTGTACATGAAACTTATACCAGTAATTATGATGATTTATATATAAAATTACTAAATAATTTATTAAAATCATAAAATATTTTTCTAAATATTTTTATAAATATACTTTTTATTTAGCATTAGTTTATCAATTTTCAAGTTACAGGTCCACTTTATACTTTTTATATTCGCCATGTAATATATCATAAATTCCCCCCATTTATTTATATCAATTTTAACCCGTGTTATTTTAAATTTTATTAAATTATATATCACTGTTTTTATTTCCTCGTACTTTATGTCCATTTAGTTTTCTATTCATTTATGTATTTTTTATTTTTCAATCATTTTTATATTTTTATCTTTTTAATATTATCACACCAATATTGTATTTTAAATTCATAAATCTATCATCATTCACATCATTTTAATATTCACTCCACTCGTTTAATATAATATTTTCTTTATTAATATAGTGGATTTTTATCGAAGGATTTACAATTTATTTCATGATTAAGGTAAGATTATGATGATGTTTGTTTAAGGGATTGCGTCTGCATTTTATTTAAAACACAAATGCAATTTGTTTAATAAAAAAAATATAATTTATTATTCATGGATCCCAAGTGCCGCTTCTTATACACTGTTCATAAAATTTATTAGCATGAATTCAAATTACAAATTAATTTATTTTGAGATCATAAAATATTTTTCTAAATATTTTCACTTTAAATTTATAAATATACTTTTTATTTAGCATTAGTTTATCAATTTTCAAGTTACAGGTCCACTTTATACTTTTTATATTCGCCATGTAATATATCATAAATTCCCCCCATTTATTTATATCAATTTTAACCCGTGTTATTTTAAATTTTATTAAATTATATATCACTGTTTTTATTTTCTCGTACTTTATGTCCATTTAGTTTTTTATTCATTTATGTATTTTTTATTTTTCAATCATTTTTATCTTTTTAATATTATCACACCAATATTGTATTTTAAATTCATAAATCTATCATCATTCACATCATTTTAATATTCACTCCACTCATTTAATATAATATTTTCTTTATCAATATGGTGGATTTTTATCGAAGGATTTACAATTTATTTCATGATTAAGGCAAGATTATGATGGTGTTTGTTTAAAGGATTGCGTCTACATTTTATTTAAAACATAGATGTAATCTATTTAATAAAAAAAATATAAATTATTATTCATGAGTCCCATGATATTTTTGCATCTGGAATACAGGGGAAAGAAAAGCAAGTGCCGCTTCTTGTGCACTGTTCATAAAATTTATTAGCATGAAAAATGTAGCCAATAGATCCTATAGTGTTTTTGCATTCAAAACACTGGGGAAAGAAAAACAACTAATTGTTGCTTCTTGCACACTATTCATTCATAGAATTAATTAGCATAAATAATGGAGCTAACTCCGTTATTCCAGCAGGATCGGATTCAGTTCAAAACTCAATATGTATTAAACCAGGCCCAACTTAATAAAATAAAAAAATATTTTTTATTTTTTAATTATGTTTTATTCAAAAAACTAGTGTTTAACATTATTCAATAACATTACATAAATTAGACAGAGATCGCTTGATAACATAACATTTACAGAATTTGATCTCAATTTCAATTTTATTTCTGATTATATTTTACCTGATGTTATTACGTACTTAGAAAACAAAAAAAAAACTATAGTTTTTATTAGATGTATTTCATACATAATAGAATTGTAGATAGTTCAATTGATTAATGAAAAATATTTTATGCAAAGTATTATTTATTTCATGATGTAATAGCAATAGCTAAACCTACAATATTTAAATTAAAAACCATCAATATTAATATATATTTTTTAAAATTATTTTATAGCCTCAATTTTAAAAATATTATTAACCAAATACATTAAACTATTTTTTGTTCAACTTCAATTTTAACCATATTTTTAATTGAACATATATAAATACCAAATCAATCTCAACTAAAAACACTTTTTATAAAATAACATTTTTAAAAACAAAACTAAAATAATTATCATAATACCAAATACACCCATCCTATAAAAATAGACTCCAGAAATTGATCGGTGCAATGTTTTCTATTGACCAATAAAAAGGTATTTGCTCAATTGCGCTGGGGCTAGAGCCTTAATCACAAGTACATTGTCTTGTTGAATCACGTAGACGCCCCATGTTATATGTAAGAAGTTCTTGTAGGAAAATCCAAATTTCATTCCTTTGTGAGCCTGAATACTTCATAAATTCTAGATAATTCAATTGACTGTACAATACAATACTTTGTTAGTAAAAGTAGTGTTTTAAAATGAAAACATATGAAATTCTAGTTTTTTTCTTTAAAAGATGAAAACTATGACTCTAGTTTTGTAATATTATTGATAATTTTAAAATGAATTTTCATTCATGTTTGTTATTATATTTTAAAAATATTTTAATTTTTTTTATTTTAAATTAATATATTTTTGATGTTTTTAAATTATTTTAATGTATTGATCTCAAAAATAATTTTTAAAAAATAAAAAGTTATAGTTATTATTGACATATTTTTCTAAATAAAAAATATTTTATAAATAATTGTAATTACACTTTTTCAAACACGTAAATTAATTTTTCTGCAGTGTTTATACACACACACACTATGTTAGATGAGCTATCCATCTTGAAGCACCATTAGTATTTATATCGTCATGTAATAAAATAAGAAATAGGACCGTTAGTATTTTTATCGTCATGTAATAAAATAAGAAATAGGTTTTAAAAAGTTTCTACACACAAATTAATATCTGAGTCATTGTTTATACACTAGGCGAACAGCTAAAATGTTTTTTTTTTTGCAACACCAATTAGATTAAGTTTATGGTTAGCAATATTCCCAAAAATTATCAGCCATAATTATTGCACCATCAATATAGCTAGAATCTTCGCAAAGCATGGAAACACAAACCATCCTTGGTCAATAATTTGATCTAACAAAAACAAGAAATATTGACCCACATGATCTTAATTTGTACTTAGAGTACAATGATTCGGGATTAGCTAGGTAATCAACTTTCCCTTTCTTCAAGCCTTGACGCATCAACTTGCTCTTTATTGCGGCCATGTTACTATAACCCAACGTCTTCTGCACTCCATCCGCCCATTTGCGCGCGCGCGTATCCATGCACGGGGGCCTCTCACACGCTTCGCGTGACATTTTATACTCCCTGTCGTTTTTCTTAAAAAAATTCGCATCGACCAACAAACCCTTTGACTTGCAGCCAAAGGTAGAGAGAGAGAGAGTGGGAGAAAGATTTTCCCGCCTTCACATGCAAAATTCGCCTTTTTATTTATTTGACTCTCTCTCTCTCTCTCTCTCAAACCTGATGAAAAGAATATTCAATAGATAAATTATTACAGTGGGGTTTCTTTATTTATTTTTTATTTTTTGACTACTGGGCAGGAAGCTCTCGACTCTGCGAGCCTTCCCATGATAATTAAAACCACCATTGGATAAGGTCGTAAATAAAGTATTTATTAAACACTAATTGCTTGTGACTGGAATTTGATTTTATATATCTATATATATATATATATATATATTTTATCAATTTTCTAAGACTTAGTTGCACAGTTACAGAGTAAGTGCAGGATGTGATAGCTCTTTTCCAATGTCCTTCCCGCTTAAAAATATTTTAAAAATAATATTTTTTATTTATTTTTAATATTAATGTATTATTTTAAAATAAAACAATTCAAAAAATAGTGAGACAGTGATTCAACCGCTGTGCCTAACAGTCCCTGAATGTTTGCCAGGTACGCTGAAAATTATTTTTTTAAAATATTTTTTTTGTTTGAAAATATATAAAAAATATATTTTTAATTTTTTAACATTATCATATTAAAATAATAATAAATTAAAATTTAATTTAAAATTAAAAAAATTAAAAATATCATTAAACCTTAACACTAAACAACATCTTTTATTTAACAAAAATTGCTTATTATTTTTTTAATGGGAGCTCTAGATCACGCAAGGCAAAGATGATTGAAGAGGAATTCGTGTCCTTCGACTCCTCTGATAGATTTCTCTTATGCCAAGACAAACGCAACTTTCTCAACCTATTGCCAGATTCAATCCTGGTCGTCCAACGTTTTATGTACTGTTTGATGACGTGGCAATGAAAGATACCTGACCAGGAGGAGCAGCAGCGATGCAGATGGGTGATTGCCCTTTTCTGAGGTTGGATCTGGGCCCATCCAAGGTCAAGGGCACCCTGTTTTTATTCCACGCCCCTTGCGGTTGTTCTTTCGTGACATTACTACCCTTTATTTTTTCTTCTCCCGTTTTACTATTCCATATTACAAGCAAAAACTAAAGTTACTGGTGGGTTTGGAGTATTATTATAATTGTTTTTTAAATAATTTTTTATGTTAATATATATATATATATTAATAATTTTTTTATTTTTTAAAAATTATTTTTGATATTATTACATTAACATGATTTCAAAACACTAAATTTTTTTTTTTAAAATGCTTTTGAAATATAGAAATAAACAAATATTTTAAACTAAAATTTAAATGCTTTTGACATATAAAAATAAACAAATATTTTAAACTAAAATTTCAATTACATGGCTATGTTCACGATTGTAAAAAAAATCATATTATTTTAATAAGAAGAGATAGAAAATTTGGCTATTTTTTAACTAAAAAGAATTAAGAATATTTCAAGTATATCTGAGACTTTTAACTAAAAAAATCCCTCTTTAGCTATTGATACTCCGTCAATAAAATATTATAAAACACAAACTCAGAATATCTAATATGTTTAATTTGGAATAAAAAATAATGTACCATGTAATTACTATTACTAATTACTATGCAATATTTTGTTTTACCGTACATTGATGGAGGGGTGTTCTTAGCATTAAAAAAATCTAAAAATCAATGGCTACACGCTCTTAAGGGCATAACTGTCAATGTGATGCAACGCCACTCCCGTTTTGGGCCCGGGCTTTTCCCAAAAACGAAGATCACCGCCTCACGCAAAAGCTAGGAAGACGAAAACGCCCCTCTCAGTCCAAAAGAGACAGACAACTCCAGTCCATCCAAAGCTAACTCATTCTCGTTGACCCAACCACTTTTTCCTTATAAGCCCACAGTAACACACATTCATTTCAATGCTGAATGTCAAAAATACCAGTCTGGCGCTTTTCCACGTGGCTTGCCCAAACTCGACCCCACATATTATCCTCTGGCTCCTTGCCGGGACCCCACAAACCCGCAGCTGAAAGTCGCCAGGTGTAACCGTCACCCAAAAAACAACAACTGCACCCAACAGATCACCGAAGCAGAAAAACAATTTTCAAATTCACTCTCTCAAAAACTCTCTCCCCCCTCCCCTTCCTCCCTCTACGAAATAAATAAAGAAAAGAAAAGAAAAGAAAAGAAAAGAAAATCAACAAGTCTCCTCTCCCTCTCTCCCTCTACACTTTAGTTACTTTCTCTTTCTCTTTGAAACTTGAAAAGAGAGATTCAATTTTCTCTCTCATTTTCTCCGTTTTTCTGAGCTTCCAAACAGAAAGTGGAGGAGAGATAGAGAGAGGAGACTATCAAATGTGATGGGAAGTGGACTCTCCACAATCTTCCCCTGCTTCAAACCGCCAAACAACAATCAACAGGACTTGATTTTCACTGCTTCTGAGCCGTTAGATGAAACCCTAGGCCACTCGTTCTGTTACGTCCGATCTTCTAACCGCTTTCTCTCTCCTACTCCCTCCGATCGCTTTGTCTCTCCTTCCCACTCTCTCCGTTTCTCACCGGCCCGGCCCGTACCCGAAACCGGTTTCAAGTCCATTTCCGGTGCTTCCGTTTCTGCTAACACCTCCACTCCTAGAACCGTCCTCCAACTTGACAGTATTTACGACGATGCCATTGATGTTATTAATTCTTCGAACAATACTGGTGGCTTTATTACTTATTCTGCTGGAGGTGCAAGGGCTAATAATACTGGCAGTATTGTGAATAATGTGAATGGATTTGAGAGCACGGCGTCGTTTAGCGCGTTGCCGTTACAGCCAGTGCCACGTGGAGGGGGAGGGTTTTTTTTGTCGGGTCCGATTGAGAGAGGCGCATTGTCGGGTCCTCTTGACCCGAATACGAGTGGAACAACCGATGGAAGTGGCGGGCGGGTGCATTTCTCGGCTCCACTTGGTGGCATTTATGTAAAAAACAAGAAGAGGAGGGGGAAGGGCATGTCGGGGTTTAAGAAGGCTATGTATCGGAATATTTCGGAGAAGAGCCGGCCGTGGGTTGTTCCGGTGTTGAATTTCGTGAACCGGAGGGAGAATTCGGGGACTGTAGAGGAGATGGAGGGGAGAGAAGAAGGGGATAACGTGCAGTGGGCGTTAGGGAAGGCAGGAGAGGATAGGGTGCACGTGGTTGTATCGGAGGAACATGGATGGTTGTTTGTTGGGATTTATGATGGGTTTAACGGACCTGATGCGCCGGAGTTCTTGATGGGGAATCTATATAGAGCTGTTTTTAATGAACTTCAAGGTTTGTTTTGGGAGGTTGTTGAAGAGGAGCCTCAAGAGACTATTCATGTGGAAGGAATTGAAAATAAAACAGACCCATTAGTCGAAAAGAGTGGTGCAAGTGACGTGAAGGATCTAATTGTCAAAAGTGAATGCAACTTGGTGTCAAAAGCAGATCCATTAGAGGAAATTTATGTTAAAAAGGACGGCGACGGCTTATCTTGTGGAATGGAATCTAATGCGGTAAATCAGGATAGAGTGAAGAGGGTTACGTTTCAACCGGAGGAGACGGAGGGGACAGCTAGTACCCGGAGGAGGAGGTTATGGGAGTTCCTAGCGGAGGATGATCTGGAAGATGGGCTTGATCTTTCCGGGTCTGATAGATTTGCCTTTTCTGTTGATGATGCGATTAGTGTAGGTAATGCAGGGTCAGCTGTTAGCAGAAGGTGGTTGCTGTTGTCAAAATTGAAACAAGGTTTGTCGAAACATAAGGAGAGGAAGTTGTTTCCGTGGAAGTTCGGATTGGAGGGAAAGGGGAAGGTGGAGGTGGAGAGTAGTAAAGTAGAGGAAAGGGTTTTGAAGAGGAAATGGAAGGCGGGACCTGTTGACCATGATTTGGTTTTGGGGGCATTGTCAAGGGCGTTAGAGGTGACTGAATTAGCGTACTTGGACATGACAGATAAGGTGTTGGATACCAATCCGGAGTTGGCATTGATGGGCTCGTGTTTGCTGGCTGTGTTGATGAGGGATGAAGATGTGTATGTGATGAATGTGGGTGATAGCAGGGCAATTGTTGCCCAGTATGAGCCACAAGAAGTTGGTTCTAGTGTGTGTGAAAATGAACTGAGCACGGAGGCAATAATTGAAACGAGATTGACTGCATTGCAGCTATCTACTGATCACAGCACAAGCATTGAAGAAGTAAGTTTTCAATTCTGGTAAATCAACTTCACTTGGCTCTAGTTTTATTAATGGTTGTTTGCTGTCTTTGATTACTGCCGACTACCTAGTTGTATATGATGTTGACTTTATATTGGTAGAAATTCCATGGTGGGCTGGCTTTGTATGTTAACTAGTTAATAATCTTACTTTTTCCTTGAACAGTGGCTGGTGCTTAGAATCATTAGGATAATACTGGTATTGCAATTCATATATTTGCTTTGATTTTTACTATCGTGTTGCGCAATAAGCTCCATGAAGTTATGTGCAAAGGTGTCTAGAATTTCAGTTTAAGAAATATTTTCTTTAGATCCTTAAGCTGATCTGTGAGTGACATCTAGTCATCAGGGTGTTTGTTGAGTCTTTCAAATGCAGGATGGTATCCATATCCTACAACAGTTTCATGCATATCTGTAGTTATTTGCTTTTTTCCTACAGTATCGTATTGATGCCAGTTCTCTACTTGGAATGTTACTTAAATGCCCAAGGTTAGATTTTGATACCTTGATGTGGTATGACTCTTTGGTTCCACATTCGATACCTTTTTGACTCCTTTCTTTCTAGTTTTGACAGTTTGGCATTATGACTTACAATCATAGATTGGAGAGCATCTTTAGTTGTCTTTTCAAGCAATCCTCTTTCGCACTAACCCTTAATGATGCCAAGAAACTATTCATCATGTGATTTTTTAGCTCTCGATGTTGATTCTTTAATTACTAGAACTTGGGATATTAAAGCATGACGCCAGGAGGATTTATTGCTCTTTTGACCTTGCTTGTTGTATGACAAGTTGCAGACTGATTTTTTTTTCCCTTTTTTGTTTTACCATAGTTGTTTTAAAGTGTATGCTCTATTTTGACTTGTAGATTTTAGATGTTGTCAAAAATCTCATTCTTTAACATGTGGACATGATATTTAAACAATCTGAAATTTGGAAATTATATTCTGCAGTTCCTCTTATTTTACTGTTTGCTAAACAAAAGCATTTTGCATTTGAAACTTTTATATCACAATTAAATTGTTAGAATAAATCTGCCTCGTTTTGTTTCATGTTATGGAGTGGCATGCCACATATCCTCTCCTATTCATTGTACTTTTCCTGTTTGTTATTTCATATCTTCTTTTAGGATAGAAACAAGGGAGATGCATGGAAGCTTCCTTGTAAGTTCCATTTTCATAGCTGGCCAGTGTTTGGAATGTTGGATGCTTCCTTTGTCAATCTCAATTCAATATGTTATTTTGTTTGCATTTCCTAGTATTTGGCAGTTTCTCAATGAACGTCAATCTTTGTTTGTTGCTTAAAATTAATTGCACCAAGTATAATTTTCCCCTCCTCCAGTGGTTTTGTCCGGGTAGAATATTTACTGCAAGGAGCAGCCTTGTCTTTGTAGACATTTGATTGGAACTTTCTTGGAAAGTCAAGTAGCAAACTGATTCTGTATCATGTGCTTATAGTTCTAGAGCATAGCCATATCTCAACAGGAGGTAACATAACACTTCCATCAAAGGTGCACAGTTAGCTATAAGCTCACCTTGCATAAATATAGAAGTTTGTTGCTTTAGTGGCTGTTTGCGCTAGTCTAGTACAGTTGTGGCCTCCTTGCACTTTGGCAATCTGCTGCTAGCTAAACTAAAAGATATTATTCTTCTATGGACCATCGAGTTGTGCTTAGGGCATATATGTTCAAGTGTGACGTAGGCTATAATATATTAGTATATTTGTGTGATGGAATCATTTCCATTCAGTGCAAATGCTCATTACATTTTCTTGAGCAGTTTTTTGTGTTAGTTACAGGAATACATAATAATTCTTCCCATCAATTCAAATTATTGTAAAAACTTGTTAATACCTCAAATCTGTCTTCTCTGTCCTTTTAAGGCTGATAGAGTAATTAAGAAGAAATTCTTATGTTGTAATTTGATGGACATTAAAGAGACTTGGTAATTTGATGACATTAAAGAGCTTGAATTGACAGATAGGATATTCTGTTTTAGAGAACTATTTTTTATGGTCATCACCATGTATGGAGGCTGTTAGAGTGATGGGTTCTAATTATAGGTCCCAAGGTTTGTTTGCAACTTCAAAACTAGCTGGCAGGGACACATGTTTATGTCTGGAAGAGGTACTTGTATGGAAATAGTTGATGCCTTTAACTTTGCATGAAAGTTTGAGAGCCTTGCTATTTACCGTAGAGAATTAAGCATCTGAAATTGCTATGACTTTGCTGTTGTGGTTGAACCACACAATTACTTTATCACTGTCTTGTTCTGGAATCATTGAAGTGTGTTGCCATATTTCCTATATTTTTGTCTGATAGCATGAAGATTTGCCACCTGTATATATTTTCTGTGATGAGGGTAGATATTCAAATTTCTGTTACTCTCGGAAAAAAGAAAAAAGGATCTGCTTCATCATGTGGAGCGTCAATTATAACTTTCTAATCTTTATCCTATTGTGAGTCTTGTTATTGATAGATGAAGTGGCTGATAAGTTTTCACTACTTATGCAGGAAGTCATTAGAATCAAGAATGAGCACCCAGACGATAACCAATGTATTGTGAATGACAGGGTGAAAGGTCGTTTGAAGGTTACCAGAGCCTTTGGGGCTGGATTTTTGAAAAGGGTATGTGAAACAAGTATTTAGACTCTGTTTTGCTGAAAATACTTAATAGGAAGATGTTTTCCTCCATTTTTCAGTGTGAAACAAATTATGAAAAATATTTTCCAGTTAACCCCTAAATAGTTACAATTTGGAGGAAAATATTTTAACCTTATGAAGGAGGGGAAAGTATTTTCCGTGATGCTATAACTCATGATATTCACCAATTTTCTGTGACACTATAACTCATGATATTCATCAACACCACCACAACCACCACCACCACCTCAGTCCCATCACCACCACCCACCCCATCATAATCTTCCACCACCACCACCATAACCACTATCAACACAACCATGGCCCCACCACCATCAGCCAACATCTTACTACTAATATAATTACTATTTAATCACCATCCCACCATAACTCTCTAACACCATTACGACCACCACCTCCACTATTTTTGCCACCGCCACCACAACCACCTTGTTATTAAATTAATTATCATTTCATCATTATTGTCATCATCACCATCATTACAACAACTATTATCCTCTGACCACCACCATTATCATCAATTTTATTAGTATTATAAATGCTATAATTGTAACCATCATTAACACTACCACAATAGCTATCAGCACCACTACCAGCTTCATTACAAACATTGCAGTTTTTCTCATCTTATTGTCCTTGATATAACCAAATGATGGAAAACAACTCATTTTTCAGGAAAATGTTTTCCTCGGGAAAATATGTTTTTGCAAAACAAACATGCCTTTAATGTAGATATTTTTCTCAGTTGAGGATCTTGTGTTATTGATGCTTATTGACTTACATAACAATTTATGTTGGCACAGCCCAAGTTGAATGATGCCTTGCTGGAAATGTTCCGAAATGAGTATATTGGCACCACACCATACATATCCTGTTCACCTTCTCTTCGTCACCATCAATTGTGTCCAAGAGATCAGTTTTTAGTCCTCTCATCTGATGGATTATATCAGTATCTGACAAATCAGGAAGTGGTTTTTCATGTTGAGAGTTTCATGGAGAAGTTTCCTGATGGAGACCCTGCACAGCACCTGATAGAGGAGCTTCTTTCTCGTGCAGCCAAGAAAGCTGGTACACCTACTTATTTTTTTCTGCTAGTCATATCAATTGCTTGATATGACATCCACTTTTACTTGAATATAATGTTGGGAAGCATTTCAGGTTCACAGAAAGCCTGGTAGAAAAATGTAGGGTACCCAATGCCCTACCCAGGTAATTAAAAACTTCTCTATATTAATAAGATGGGAGGTGATGTTGCGTTGTACTTTCTGCCACCCCACTTATGTGATTCTGCAAATTTGTGTAGCAGATATTAGATCACCTCTACTTTTATCTAGGGAACAGCCTTTGCTCTTCATGCCTTCCTGTTCTGCCCTCTGAATTCTGTTTTTGATATTTGCTTGCGATGTGATTGCAAATAATATTCTACAACTTGGGTCTTCAAAGGGTGGGGGGGGTATGGTTCTCCCACTATTCGTGTTTTCCTTTTGTTTTTTTTTTCTTATAATATATCAAAATGTTAAGAGATGCAAACTATTTCTGGGGATTTTCTTTGAGCATTATCTATTCATGTAGAATAAATAAGACTGGTACATTCTATTCTTCATGTTTATCATAGTTTAAGCTTTCTAGTTGAATCATGTACTGTATTTTCAAACTGTTTGAGCAATGCTGATTTTCAACCTCCATGGACTGTCTGCAGGAATGGATTTCCATGAATTACTGGATATCCCGCAAGGGGATCGACGAAAGTACCATGATGATGTTACCGTTATGGTAATATCACTTGAAGGAAGAATTTGGAAATCATCGGGGAAGTACCTTTAAAAGTCTTTGTGCATTGGACAGTGTTTCAATTGCCGATGACCTTTCTACACAATATGGGATGCAATTCCAATTCTCAAGTTGATTTTTTGGTAAGCAGTGACCCATTTTTCATGGGTCATGGAAATTTGCTTGGGGTGGTATCCAGTTAACAGGGGTGAAGTCCAAATGGGCAAATATTAATGCAAGGTAGCTGTCTATAGCTCGTAGATGTCCCGAGGAAATGATGGGGGTTAGCAAATGCTCTAGGAATTGAAAAAAGAAAAGGAAGTTCCTATTCCATCTTTGTTTAGACAGATGCTTGCTCAGGTGGAGGCTTTCTCCATTCCTAGTTGCCTTCATTTCTCGTTCTTTTCATTTCATTTTTCTTCTTCTTTTAGAGCAAAAAGGAAGAGGGGGGAGATGCTTGTAATCTGGGTTGGGGGTGGGTATACTGAACTAGGAGAATGCCTAGTTAAAGGTGAGTTGTAATTTTGAAGGTGGATTTCTCCACCGCGGTTTAATAGGAAAAAGGAGGTTTCTACACATTGCTTGTGTGGAATTTTTATCTTCTGCCTGTACAAACAAATTGTTGCAGAAGGCCACACTTCTCAGCAGCAACTGCCCAAAGGGAACCGAAAGCTGTAATTACAGTATGAAATAAGGATGGATGTAGGGGATGAAGAAGTGAGGAGGTAGTTCTCTTCCCGCGGTGTGGTTTGGTTTGGCATGAGGTTGATTCATCACATTACTTCTGATTTGAGCCATTAAATTCAATGTAAAGTAGTTAGCATTCAAACAGATGTTTGTTTAAGATTAAAAAGATGGTTAACCATCTTATGTTGGCCTTTGTTATAATTAAATTGAAGGGCATCATCGCAATTATCAGACTCTGCTTCAAAAATTCATTTTTGACTCCATAACTGTGATGCTTGCATGCGATGAAACGTAATTGCAATTCAATCTTCAAAAATAAGAGCAATAATGATCACAAACAAAAAGAGTAGCTTGATCTATTTATTTAAACAATTCGAAAGTATCGTTGAGTGCATTTGGCATGAATATAATTGCAGTTGCCTCAAAATAGCCATTAGCAAACACCTTCATCGTATTTCATATATATATCTCAATAACATTTTCCAACATCCAGAATAAATTGAAACCAAACAAGCACCCACAGAAGCACCATGATGGCGCGCATCCTATTTCATCTGATGTCATACAGTAAGACGAATTTCCACGCGCCATCTGGGCTGTGCAGATACATTGCGGTTCATGCTGTAACCGAAGACGGAATCCTTGATTGCACCCAGGTTACTAAATCCTCCCGTGTGGCCACGAAATGACCTGCTCTCTCTTCACTCTGCCTAAAAGGTGCTGCAAGTTTCTTCACATGGGAATCAAAGGAATTGGCTAAGCCTTGAGAGAACTTGTGAGTTCCTGTACCCGTGTGAGCTGAAAATAACTCTGGCAATTCCTCATTGCGCTGCACGAATTTGGTCAAGGTCCCCATCCACTCTTCAAGTGCAGTGTGAGCTGCACCAACAGACAGTGAGCGCACATCCAAACTCCACTCCTTTACAGTCTTGTGGTGTAAATCTGGGTATAATCCGTAAAGGGTTCCCAGATAGAGCAGCTCATGTGCTCTCCCGTGAAGATCTCTCTTCCTACATATGTCTATTAAGCAATTACAAAACGGTCTTCTTGTTTCCACCGCGGCATCGCTAACAACAGCCCTAAACTCCTCTTTTAGGGTCTCGAAGCTAGTTTCTTCTTCTTCAATCAATCTCACAAGGGCAACCAACCTTGGATTAGCTTGCTTCAAACAAGCTAGGACCTTAGCAACATCCTCACTCTCATCACATAACGATGCAACAGAGAGCAGGCACCCACAAAACCTATCATCCAGCTTAACCCCTCCATCAATCGCAACATTAAAAACTTTAACCAAATCATCAATTCTTCTTGCCTTCCCTAAGCACTGAACCAAACAAGTGCAACCCATTATATTAAGCCCAATACCCAACTTAGACATCTCTTCAAACAACTCCATTGATTTATCAGCATTCCCTCCACTGCCATATATATTTAGCATAGCAGTGAAAGTCCAACTATCTGGCCTACATTTCTCTGATTTTTTCATATCCTCAAACAACATCTCGGCCTCCTCAACAAGGCCAAGATCTGCGCACATGTTCAACAACGTATTGTATAAAATGAAATCCATTGGCCAGTTATTTGACCTCATTCGTTCCCATAAATCCATCGCATCCTTGGCCCACCTAGCCTTACCATAAATCTTAGCTAGTGCAGTTAGTGTTTTCTCACTCGGGGTTAGCCCTGAGTCCACCATCTCCTCAAATAAACTTCTAGCCAAGCCAGGCTTCCCTGCCTTGCCCATTGCCTCCAACAATGTATTATACACAACCAAATTAGGCTGCACACCAAGAGACTTCATTTCTTGCAAAACATACCTAATGCCATCATAATCTCCAGCCTCACCAAACATCTTTGCCAATACAGAGAATGTTATAGGGTCGGGTTTCCACCCACTAGCTACCCCTCTCTCATACAAACTTAAAACCTCTTCAACCTTGCCTAATTTAGCGTAAACATCTAAAATAGCAGAATATGTGACCTCATCAGGCATTAATCCAGTTTTATACATTCTTTCAAACCACTCCACAGCCTTATCAAACCTACTGCATTTTTTAGCACAAGTAATAATAGTTGAATAAGTAATGTTATCAAGCTGAATCTCATTGCTTACCATCTCATTAGCAAGCTCCTCAATGATATCAAACTGCAACCCGTACCTCAAAGACTTCATTGTGACATTGTAGAATATGGTTTCCATGGGAAATACATTCCGGGTCTTGATCCAGTTGAAGAAAAGGTGAGTCTTCTGCCATGGCCTCAAGCTATTGAGTATCAAGAGAGCATTTTCTCTAGTTGGTGGGTATGGGATTGTCTCAAGAACAGACTCAAACTCATCCTCACCAGAACCACAATCATTCAGCTTCTTCGCAAAGAGTTTCAACTCTCTAATTTGAGGATTGTAAGAGTAAAGAGACTTCTTTTGCCTTTGAAGTGAAAGCACTGACCTTTTTGGTCTTGTGGGGTTGACCCATGTGGACTTGGGTTTTGACAAGAGTTGAGCTTTATGGTCTTTGGTGGAGAGAGTGGTTGCGGAGAGAGGCTTGAGTTGGTCAGATAAAGAAGGGTTTTTGGGGCTGGGTGATTCTGAGATATTTTGTGGTGGTTTTGTAGAGGATGATGTTTCTGAGGTGGAAGAGTTGCAAGAAATGGCGAGTCTTTTCTTAGTGGGGTTATGCCTGATTGGTGAAGTGAAGAAAATGGGTCTCTTTGTATCTGATTTTGGTGCTGTAAAATGGACATCGAGAGCTGTAGAAAGACTGGCAGCCATGACTCAGGAGCAGTGAGCACCCCCTGGTTGAAGAAAATATCTATTAGTTCAGTTGGAGCGGGAGATGTTTATGCCCCTCTCGATATTTTTGGACACCTTATCTTAATCTAGATGGATGCTGAAGAGGAGAGAAGCCCTATATAATCAAGTTGAGGGGTGAAAAAGATAAAAAAAAAAATTGGTTATAGATCCACCTATAAGGTGGAGAGCCTTAACCGGATGTGTGATAACAGGAAAGCCCGAAGGCTGTTCCCGTCCCTGTCAGGGGAGATGCCAACCATCTCTCCTTTCTACGAACACAGTCAGGTTTTCTGCAGAAAGACCTAAAAACAAGGGCAGATATTGTCAACTGAACGATGTGGGAAACACGGGTGTCTAGAGAAAGCAATAAAAAGCACGGCAGATATTGTCAACTGAACGATGTGGGATTTCCAAGTGGGCTTAAGCCTGAATTTGGTTGACTAAGTCCTAAATCATGGAATATTGTTTTAGTGCACAATTTGGAAGAAATCGAAACTGCTGCCTCGAGTATGAAAGATTATGGAGGTGGAGGAACATGTATCTTGGATTCAGACACAAAACTCTTGGATATATTTGGTTAAACTCTTCTTTCCACCGGTCAAAAGATTAATTTATGCACGTCTCCGAGAGCTTGCCTTTTATTATTATATTATGTTAAGTGGGGAAAAAAATTCAGTTTTGGGCCGTCCTAATCAAATCCTTCGTCCTCTGTCACGGTGGGCTATTCCTCAGAGAGACACAAGCAGACACCAAGTGATGGTAAGGGCGGCAAACATTACTTGCGAGTTGTGGACTGAAGTTGCGAGCATTTTGTTAAATAAAATCCCAGGTGGTTCCTATCTTCTGTCTACAGTTTGGATAACCACCGTAGCTCATAACAGTGACAGTTTTGAAACAACAAAAGAAATCTGCATTAATTTTGCATTTTCATGGTAGCACAACATCCCTCCTCATCGTTGGATACATGAAACCCCAATAGAACATTACCAGCTACTTGGAACGGGCCAAAAATATACTGGTGGTGACTATCCCTCTGCAAAGCAATTTATAATTCTGTCAAAACACGAGTTTGCAAAACTTTCACTACCCCTCAATGCGAGGATCCCTTGAAAGAGGAACCCAGCAACCCCTTGACATGATTCTCGACTTGTTTCCGGATAAAAGAATAGGGCAACTTCTCAATCAGGAAAATACAAGAGCTTTTCGAGCCGTCTCTTGGTCAATGCTGCGTGCCTGAAAGTAGAAGAGTTGGGTTTCTTCCAGATCACTTATTGCAGCTCCATGGGAGCACTTGACATCATCTGCAATAATTTGGAGATTGGGTTTGACATTCACAGTTGCACGTGGTTCAAGGAGGAGGCTCCTTGTTAATTGTCCCGCATCTGTCTGCTGTGCATATCTGCAGAAAAGAAATATAGTTCTCAGAAAGGCATACGCCAAGAAAGACCAACCAATAAGATGCTCTGCACTTGCTATATCAGCGAGTAAGATGTACAAGGTAACTGATAGAATGACATTAACTAATCAGTATTCTCTACTGCTATTCTTTATCAACGAAACACCGTGAGCATACTTTGAAGCGCTGAATGCAAGTACAACTTATTATTTGTACTTTCATCTTTCCTATTCCAGACGCATGTTGGACCAATTGACAGTAAAACACTTCCAACTCTATAAATTCTCATAACTATTTTGAACAAAAATGTCGAGCTTGACAAGCTTGCAGTGACAATTTAGCGAAAGAAGCTCCATAAAATTACTGTATTTGAGTTGTCATTGCATTAAAATTAGGTGCAATCATGTGAAACAGTTATGTACCAAGAATTCAAATCAATAAAATTTCAGGATTATCCAAAACATGAGGACAGGAATAGTAATGAGGCATCGGAAAGATAAAGATTAACAAACAATGAAGCAAAAAAATATAAATGTTATAACAAAAACCACATATGATGGGACACAACAGCCTTACTTGTTAACCTTTACATTCCCATCAAAGACAGCTTGTCCTTGTGAATGAGCAACAATACACTTGTGAAGTTGCTGAGAATAACCTCTTGGATGGTCCAAGACTAGCCTACTGTGTAAATCTTGTTTGATCACCAACAGACAAGTGGAAAGTTGATAACTCAGTTGCTGTATCTGGGCCCAATTGTTGAACATGGAGATTGTGCCTACTCAATTTCCCACCAGTGCTTAACTCTACAAGCTCATAGGAACTAGCTGCTTCCTGCTAGTGATCCACTTGAAGTCAAATTTATTGTACCTGGGTAAATTCATCACCCGAAGATCAAGTCAAATTCATTGTTGCTGGATAAATTCATCGCCCAAAAATCATTGAATAGGCCTGAGAATTAACAGAGGTAAAATATGTCGTAATGTTTACATTTTTCTATTGAATTAATGACTTATGAATAATTTCAGTGCCACTTCCATGACC